CAGTTAGTGAGCCTCATGAGTTTATACTACATTCAACAATCCACATATGGATTTACACAAGGATTAAGGACGTTAAAAATTCCTCAGGAAGCTGTAGATAATGCAGGGACCCAGATCTTGTGCAAGGGATCAAGTATTGGAAATTTATACTTCACTGACTGTGAAAATATGCAGTTTCACTCAACTACTTTTGAGGTCTAGGTCTTTCACCGAATGGCTGATCAGAAACCAGCGCTGTGCATTTGGAAATTTCTATACATATTCTTACATTGAGTTTGTGACATCAAGCTGCTGCTATTGGGAAATTCTACTTTGTTGAAAATGGTTACATGGAGGAGAAACTCTGAGAGGAAGTTGCTGGCATTAGAAGAAGTCGCCGGTTTCATGATCCTTTTGTTGTTGTGTTTCTTTGAGGTTTAAATGCTGTTGAAACTACTTTATAGAAACAACAACTTCCCTAATGGTTTTCTCCATGGGTATATTCGACCATTTAAAAGGTAAAGAAATTAAGCAAGAAATTAAACAAATCAATACGTAGACTTAACATCTTGTTTGCATATGAGAAAAAGGAGGAAAATGACTCCCTTCTGTCAAAATGACCGTTGGAAACAGACAAACATTTTATGCAAAACAATAAAAAAGAGTAAAGGGTGTTGGTTAAAAGTGAAACTTATCTGTTTTGACTGTTTTGCTTAACTACTGATACTTATTTCATTATCTGTTGTAATGTTTTACCTAGATTATCATGTTTTCCTCTAAAACATGATAATCTAGTCCTTTAAAAGAGTTGAATTTGAATATTGCATTAATTAGGGGTAAACAGAATCAGCACTCACAGTTTTACCTCAAGGCAACAGAGAAATGGTCTCATACACATTCTGTGCAACCGTTTGACCCTTAAGGCTGTTCAACAACTGGCTACAGGACTACCAGTTGGATACAGGAAGAAACCCCTGAAGCAAAATCTCTGACCATTGACCAACTACAGAATAAAGTAGAACTCATGAGAGTTAATGGGTTAATCTTATTTTTTTTTAAAACACACACATCTGAGAGAGACGATAGACTGCAAGGCCTGAGCAAATATAACTGAATGATAAGAACAAGAGCTAAGGGTCTAATTCCAACGAGATAAAGAGACTCACACTGCCACACATGTCCACACAGTCACAGATATGTCCACATACAAGGGTAAATCAAAAAGTCCAAAGATGTAATTTCCAAATGTGTCACATTTTAATAAGTAAAGAAAAACTAATACACATCTCTAACAGTTTCATGAATTTTGTGTCATTGTATTCCTGTCAAGTCTTTTGTTTTATTCTTATCAGGTTTTTAACCTTCTAAACTGACCAATCTGAAATCAGAACCACATTCACAAATTAATAAAAAAACTTCGCATCAGGTTTCAATCGACCTGCATCTGATTTTTCTTTATTTTTACGATACTGAGAAACCATTATTATTACACACATTAGCCCAAACACCGCTTTCTAAAGTAATAAGACTTAAATATAAGACATGTAGAGAACTAGAATTGTTTTTAAAAAATATATATATACATAAGAATTAAATATGCATGAGCATACAGCTAGCGTTCTTTTCTCCAAGAGTCACAATCTGCACAGTGACGTAGAAGTTAGCGCTACTGCAGAAAATGTACTGTACGTAACATGGCTTTTATGTCATGAAAGCACATGTGAATTTCTATTTGTCCAGAAACTATGGTTCCAAAGAGATTGGGCAGACTGGGTAAAAGGTTGATGAGAGACACTATATATTTACAGAGCCTGTGTCTGACATGGACCTTACCTTTCCCCCAAGAGACAACTGTAACCCATATAAAACCAAGTAGAGAAAGTTGAATGAATGCATGGAAGCAGAGTGAGATCATAGACAAGGCTACTTCTCAACTGACCGGTATACTTTATGGTCTTAATCACTAACTGTGGGGCTTCTTCAATATAACTCAAGTAGAACTTTAGGTAATCTGATAAATGAATAAACACCTCACACTACAACTCACAGGTAATCATGCGAAAACATCTGATTCTACTAATCACCTTAGCTACACTTTTCAACTAATCTCTGTGCATGACTTACTGTGTTTAACTATTTAATGAAGACTTAATGACTTTAATGACTTTATGACTTACACCTGGGGCATGGGGGACGAGACAACTGTGAAGGCATTACAATTTATATTTATTTTATCATTCCATACTTAAAAATTAAAGAAGGTAATGATACATACAGCTGACAAAACTGTATAAGATTTACCAACAAAATTAGTTTTGTCATATTTTTGCAAACATTCCATGGAGCTGCAAAGTCTGCCATAGACCACGTGTTTTTTTTTTCTTCTAAATGTAATGCTTTATCTGACGTTAGCACATCATGTAAACAAGTTACTGTTTATTATTACAGAAGGTTAAGGATGTGCAGCACCGTAACAGTCACTATTCATGACCTCTTCCTGTACAATATAAAATAAGATGTTGGTTAGTGATGCTGTTCTTGATTATGAGACTCTCTCACTCACATTCCTTGCACTATT